TTTCAGATACTTCCTTTTTCCAACTTATCTCTGGTTCTCAATTCCACTAAGCCTTTTTCTAACCAGCTACTGCCTGGGTGCCAGTTGTATGATATTGATATAACTTGAACTGAGTGAATATAGCTTGCTAATTTGTCATACACGAGTGTTTGATAAATTTATTTATTGCTTCCAGTGCATCCTGGAAGTTATTTAGGAAGAATGCATTAACTATTTCAAAACACCACATCACAGGTTGATTTAGCTCCCATAAAAACTATTAGATATCTGATCTGGCTGGGTGACTCAGTTGGTTGGCGCATCATCCCATACACCAAAAGGTAGAAGGTTTGATTCCCAGTCAGCACACATACTTATATTGTGAGCCCAATGCCTGGTTGGGGAACAAAGGAAGGCAACCAATTGATGTTTCTTTCTTTCTCTTTCTCTCTCTTCTCTCTCCTGCCACTCTTCCTTTCTCTCTAAAATCAATAAATATATCCTCTGGTGAGTATTTTTTTTTTAATCTAAATTATTCAGACATAAGCTGTATTTTTTTTTTTTCATTTGCAGTCAGGATTTGTACCGTGTTAATACAGTTACAATATTTTTAAAATATATTTTATTGATTTTTTTTTTTTTTTTTTTTTTTTTTTACAGAGAGGAAGGAAGAGGGATAGAAAGCAAGAAACATCAATGAGAGAGAAACATAGAACCAGCTGCCTCTTGCATACCCCCTACTGGGGATGTGCCTGCAACCAATCTACATGCCCTTGACCAGAATTGAACCTGGGACCTTTCAGTCCGCAGACCAACGCTCTATCCACTGAGCCAAACCGGTTTCGGCACAGTTATATTTTTATTAGCATCCTTGGAAACTAAGGTTATGATTGGCCAAATGTAAAAATACAGTTTGTTGCAATGGGGCAATTTTTCCTGTTTTAACAAGACAACTGAGAAGTTTACAGGAGATATGAAACTCAATATTGTCATTATCAATAGTATCTCTAGAAAACACCTTTAAACAGCCCAATTTACTATCACAGAATGACTTACAAATAAAATCCCCCAAACTAGGAAAATGCTTTGGATTGATCACTCAGCTCCCAGTATTGACATAAGTCTACACATTAACTGGGATTTGCTAGTACATTGTGATCCTTGATGCTACGTTTAATCAGTTAGCCGAAACCTTATGGGATGGGAGTGCAACAAAATTAATAATGCCACAAATGGATACCAGTTGATGTACATCTACTGACTTTTGGTTTTCAATGATGCTTAATTGAGTAAAAATAAATTTAAGATAAAATTTTAAAATTTCAAGAGTATTTTGAGGAAAAGTGTGAATACAGATAAGTTTTTAAAACTCAATAACAAAGTTGACTTTAAAACTTTACAAATATAAATATCTCCAAGTGTATATTATCCATCAAAATAGGTGATATAGTTGTTTGAGGAAGTATACATTTTTAATTTTTTGATGCTGCTCTGTTATGAATAACTTTTTCACAGTTGTTCTTTCAGAAGTGTTTATATTACTGTAATGCCATTTCTAAAATGAAATATGTAAGTGACATAAAGGGAAATTTTCATTTTTAAAATATTTTAATGACATTAGAATTACTGACTGAGGGTAAACAGGCAGATATAAATAAAAGGCTAATCTCCCTTACTCAATTCCCACACATACACAAATCTCAGCAATTATGGAGTTAGTTTGTGGAGCAATATCCCAAGATAAATGGTAATTATTATAGTTCCTAGGTCTATAGCAGAAACTTACACTTAAGTACTGCACATGGGTGCCAGGCTGATTAAACACAACAGGACGGAGATTATAGTAACTCAAAACAACATAATCCATACATTAAAACAAATTTTCTCAATTTCATACTCAATTTTCCAGCCAAGAAGTAGAAGAGTGAACGGGTTGACTACCTACTTCAAAAAAGAAAGGTTACAATGATGTATGTCTAAATCATGTAAATAATATTAGGCGCAATGAAGTGATTTCCTGAGTTACCTATAACACAATTTTTAGTTCCTATTGAACCTAGCTAAGAAAATAATATTAATAAAGAATACTAATTTGTGTGCAGAATGAATGGTTTTACACCTGGAAATATAGGCAAATAAAGGGATATAGACTTCTATGCTAGCAAAGTTCCCATTTGGTCTTTGAAGTCTCCATTTATAATTGTCCCACTATATATATATAGTGTGTGTGTGTGTGTGTGTGTGTGTGTGTGTGTGTTTGTGTGTGTGTGTGTGTGTGTATGGTGAGAAGAGAATTGGAAATTATATATATATATATATATATATATATATATATATATATATAATTCTCTTCATGTAAAATGTTCAAAACACACTTCATAATCTTACACTAACTCTTATGTCTATCTCTTTTACAACTTATCAATGTTTTATAACTAAATAAAAATAAAGTGTTCTTTTCCCCATAAATCCTTCTACAAATGAAAATAAAACTGATTTAGGCTAAGAAAAGGCATGATTTACAAAGTCAAAGCAATGAAATTTGAAGTATACACTTGTGGTTCTCAGATTTGAGCAGGTACCAGAGTCACGGCCTGAGTAAAGAACACAGATTGCTGGGTCACACCCTCTGTATTTCTGATTTACAAAGCCCAGGACACTGAGATTTCACAGGTGAGGATGATGCTGAAGTTTAGGGGTTTCCACTTTGAGAACCTAATTTCTGTACTATGTAAGACATATTTGAAAAGTTACAATAAGTATATATTTTTTTTGCCCACCTCATAACTGTAACATTTATAACCAGGGATGCTGATTACTTTTCACACAAAGCTGATTCTATTTTTAGCTAAGTTACTAATAACCACATCAAAATTAAAATAAAACAAACCCCCCAAAAAACACCACAGCATCCATCACAAGAACCAGTTCAGCAGCAGAACTACCTTCTTCCTTATTGTTAAGCAACATGGGCATAAGGTTTCTCTAATGCAATTTTCTTATTGTCTCTATTCCTATATCTTATCCTTTTCCACTACGCAACACAAGACTTTCCAGAACAAATAATCCAAATTACAAAAAGTAACAGGGAATTGGAGCTATGTCTTTCTAATCCAGACAGTTCCAGCCATACTATTCGCCCCCCCCCCCGCATCCCACCCCCTGCCGGCCCCAATCTTTCTCACTACACACACACACACACACACACACACACACACAATTAAAAAATAAAAACTCCTTTTGTTGGGATGATCTGAACCAATGAAAGAGAAGTAAAGACTTAGACATGGTATAAAAGGAATCCAAACTCTCCCACACTAAGGAACAGCTTCCTGAGAAGGCTCTAACTCCAGCATTCCTCCATCCCTAGAATCCTGGACACTCAGCTGCTCCAGACCCCAGAGTGTGGTTGAAGGCAAAAGAGCTTTCAATGAACTGCTGCTCTGCTTGAGGCCACACCTCCTACCATAAGCCAAGAGGTAAGATGTGCTGTAGTTCCAGCATCTCTCTCACACAGACACACACCACCACCACCATCATAATTACCACCAAGCAAGCTCTCTTCCATTTGGGAAAGAGGGAGTGGGAAGAGAGGGGAGATTAAGAGGCTTAGAGTTGGGGAGGGCGGTTCCCGCCACCTCCCAGCACTGCTTAGCCCTGGGCAGTGCACAATGAAGAAGGTAAAGGTCTGATCTCCCTCATACTTTCCCAAACACCCACCCATGGCAATGGTTTCTCAGTTTGAAGACCCAACATCCCCTTGTGCCCATACCCACTCCGCAGTCCTCAGTCAGGTCTAGGGTCTGCAGGGAAAGGTCTGACATTTCCACAAACACTTATGCCCTTTGCCAGGGGCAGCCAGGGACCGAGCACTGCAGTGCTAGAATCCAGACCCCAGAGTGAGGCAGTGGGCACTGGGCTGGATTCCCAGCACAACCTCTGGATATTGGTTGGAGGGGAACTGTCCCTGAGATTTGGCCTGCTGTCCCTGAGGGGCTGTTCTCCCAACCTCCTCCTCCCCCCCCCCCCCCACCTGGAGATCACAAAAGTTATTTTTCCTTTGTGGCACTGCCTGCCTGTCCCAGGAGATGACCACTTCAGCCAGAGCGAGAGGCTGTGTGTGAGTGTATCTTTCTGTCCTGAAAGCAAAGGGTGCCAACTGCTGACAGGCAAAGGAACCTGGATTTGCTCTTGAGGATTTAAAAACCTCCCTATTAACAAGCTCGCCCTTCTCCCAGTCCTTATCCGCCCAGATCTGGGTTTTTCAGAGAACTGAGACTGTGTTCTAGTTGCAGTGAACTGGTGTCCTGCCCCGGAGCTCAGAGGCGCGGACTTGGCGGTCCATTCATTCATGCGTTTGCTCATCCATTCACACAAACACGTCCCTTAATTGTGTCTGGCACCTAGAATCTTGCCTGCTATTTCCTCGTCCCCAAGTCAGTGCTCCAGGCCATGGCTGGTGCATAATGCAAACTCAACTGTCACCCACTTCCTAAGCTGGAAAATCAAGTCTTATGGGCACATTCTCTCTCTCTCTCTCTCTCTCTCTCTCTCTCTCTCTCTCTCTCTCTCTCTCTCACACACACACACACACACACACACACACACACACGTGGGGAGGAGAAGGGGGGCAGAAAGGAATGGGGCGCTCACTGGGGTCACATTCGAAGCCTCCATTTGGGGGAAATCGCGGCACTGCCTGGGCGGCAAACGAGGTCAAATCTTTATTAAATCGAAGAACGCTAGCGCGCGGTCCCAGCGGCGATACAGCCAGCGCACAGCCCCTGTTCTCAGGAGTGCGATGCCGCGGGCTCCCCTCAACTCGGAGCCGGAGCTGCGGTGCGGGGCCGCGGCTCGCAGCCCAATCCGCAGCGCTCCTGCCTCCGCGCCCAGTAACGTGATGGAGAGGAACCCGAATGCCGCGCCGGGAGGGGCCCCGGGACGCGCGAGTCGTGCCTTCTCCTCAAGAGCCTGGCTGCCTAAGAATCACAAGGTCACGATAACGCCGCGATCGCACTCACCGTACACTCCTTGGCCGGAGATCCCCTCCAGGACGACTGTCAGCAGCCACACGAGACCGTACACCAAATCCATCTTCACGTGAACATGAACATGTCCAGCCCGGGGGGGACGCGGCGGGACCTTCCGGGGGCTGGCGGCCGGGCGGGCGCGCTCCTCTGGCTCCCGGGCTGCGCCGACGTGCCCGCCGCCCGGCCGCCCGAGGCGGCGCCGTCCGTCCGTCCTTCCCCGGCGGCGGCCGGGAGCGGAGCGCGGCAGCCCCGCACGCCCCGCGCTCATGCACGCACACACAAACACACCCCCACACAACACCTGGCACACTCACATGCAGCCGCTCACACGGGCGCCTGGGAAGATCGCAGACGCTGGGGGGCCGGGGCGGCGGGAAGGGGAGCGGAGGGAAGTGTTCGGGGCGCGGGCGCAGCTCCGCGGCGGCGGCGGCGCGCTGGGCGGCGGGCGGGCGCGGGCCGGGGCCGGTGCGGAGCGGCGAGCCGGGCGCGGGCGGCCGAGGAACAGGAAGTGGCTTCTGGCTCGGGGCACGGAGCAGAGGGTTCCTCGCCGGGGTTCGTCTTTACAAAGTAACTCGCGAAGGTTCCCGGAGGAGCATCAGGCAGCCGCAGCGGCCCGCCCGCCAGCAGTCCGGAGCCCCCAGCCCTGCTGTCTTGCCTTCCCCCATTCCATCAGTTGCCATTGCAACGCCAATCCGCTTACACGACACAGGCTGGCATCGCTGAGCTGGGCGAGGAGGAAGAGGAGGGGGGGGAGGAGGGAGAGGAGGGAGAGGAGGAGGGAGAGGAGGGAGAGGAGGAGGGAGAGGAGGAGTGGGACCGGGGGCAGGGGTGGAGAAGAGAGGGAAGGCGGAGGGAGAGGAAGAGAGGGACGGACAGGAGCAGAGCGCGTCCGGGGCTCTCTCTCCTGGGCACCAGCCTCAGCCGCCGCCGATCTCCAGAATAGCCTCGGTCCCCGCCCGCGACGAGGGGCCTCCGCCGGCAGCGCCGATGCCCGGAGCCGCGAGCAGGGTCCAGCCGCCGCCACTTGCGAGGGAGAAGCAGGACCGGGTCCGCACACTCGTCCCCGCGTGCTCCCCGCGCCGCGAGCCCCCTCCGCGCCGCCAGGTGGAGGGTGGGGGCGGCGGGACCCGCGGGAGCTGAGCGGAGGGAGCCGCCGCCGCAGGGCTTCCCCGCCGGGGCTGCCGCGGTGCCGGCGGCCGCGGTGAGCGCGGGGGCTGCGCGGGGAGGACACCCCGCTCCGCGGCCGCTGCGCGGGCCCCGCTGCGGCGCAGGCTCCCGGGCCGGGCTGCGGGCGTCCTGGGCTGGACGCCGGCTGGAACCCGCGGTGGACTCGGTGCTGAGCGCCCGGGAGGCGGAGAGGAGGAGGAGGTGCAGCCGCGAGCCGGTGGCGGCTGCGGTGCGGGAGGCTGTGCGGTCGGTCACGTTGTGCGCTACGTGCCGGGAGCGCGAGCCGCCCGCCGCAGCCGCGACGTCAAAGCCCGGGCGCGCCGCTCGGTCGGGCCCCGCCGCTCCGCTCCCCTGCGCCCAGCCTCCGGGTCAGCGGCTCGTCCGCGGGACAGCGCCCGGGGCTCCGCGGCCGGCGGCGGCCGGCCTCCCGCCGGGCCTCCCCGCTCTCCGCGAGCCTCGCCGCGGCGGAGCCCGGGCTGGTTTCTGCTGGCGGTGCCCGCGGTGGGCCAGCGGCCCGGGCCCGGGGTGATCGCGGGGCACCCTATCGCTTCCCGCCGCCCCCTATCGCTTCCCGCCGCCCAAGGTCTTCCAGGACCGCTCTGCTTGACTAGAGAGCAGAACAGGCCACAGCACTAGGTAGCGGCTTGGTTTCTTTGCCATTTCAGTCATTTTTAAATGAAAATACGGTCATCACAGCATTGAAGGCTCCAGGGCAGAAAAACTGAGAATGCTGAGCTTAGTTTAATATGCACTGTCTCCTATTAAAGTTAACTGCTTTGAAAATCTTTTTTTTTGTGAAAAACCTTCTCATTGGGGCAGGGGAGTTTAAGAAACTCATAGTTACAAAGGGACTAGGAAATGTAACGTATCTTTAATTTTAAAATGAAGTAATGTAGAAATACTTCACCAAAAATTAATAGGGATAAACTGGAAATAGAGTAGTGGTTTGTGATTTGTTTCAGTAGCCACAGTAATTTAGTGCTACTTGTGCGCAATCCACTTTGTTGAATATACGCTATTCTTTACTAATTCAGACAGAACTGGATAGGGAGGTGATTAAAATAGCTGAAAACGTGTATTTATACATGTGTTACTAAAGTAGTTGCTATGGAAAATCTGGCTTATGATATTCATTTATCTGCTTCCATATTGACATACGCTGCAGGTCCCTCTCCTCCTCTTACTTTTGCTGGGGGGAGGGGACTCCAAGCACTAGAAAATGAATAGCCCCCACCGTTCCCTCTAAGGCTCCTCACTTAGGCTTATTATTGTTATTGGGTATAATCTGGTGCATACCCTCTGCGTTTACAAGATAAAGGAAGAAAGAATGGTGAGGGTCTCAAAGGACAGGTCGCATGGTGTTGAGAACCCAACCCCTTCTTTATGAAATGCCACTCTCAAGCAGATGGAATTCCAGGAGCAGTGTCATTCTAGGAGCAAAACCTAAAGTGTGGCTTTCTGAAGGGGAATGATATAGCTCACTCATTAGCCACCTGTGGTGGGAGAGGAGGGGGGAATTGTCATGTTTCTGGAAATCTGTCTTTTAAAAGCAGATCATCCCTGAATACTGCAGCACAGCAGCTTCAAGGGGCAGTAAACTGCAACTTTGCTCTCAGCTCACAGCTCAGAATGTATCTTGTCCACCAGGCCCTTACGTCCAGATTTATTTTAGCTGCTTAAGTTCTGCAATAATACTTCACCTACATGAGTGTACTGTGTTTTTGTGTGTGTGTGTGTGTTTTGTTTTGTTTTTGTTTTTGTGTGTGTGTGTGTTTTGCATTCTTATTTATGGAATTAAGTGTGTGTGTGTGTGTGTGTGTGTGTGTGTGTGTTTCAAGACTCTAAATTAAAATATTTTATTATTTAAAAAGTCAATGTATTATTTTGGCAAAGGAAACCCTTTATTTTCCATGTAATGCACATCTCTGTCTTGGAAAAGACCATACACCCTTGATGTTCTCAGCAGTTCTTGAGTGAGCTATTTAGAGCTGTATAGAACTCAACCCAATAATTTTAAAATTTATTTCAGTGATAAAACAGCCAGGTGTATCCACTCTGGATCAGACCTTAGCCTAGATATTAGACATTTAAAGACATATATAGGATAGAATCCCTTCTTTTAGTAAACCCACAATCTAAAATATGTTGGTCAATACATGCACCCCTACATATATTGACACTATAATTGCTATATAAATAAAATATCAGGCACAGGAGGCAACGTTTTCATGCAATCGTTAATTGGGTTATATGGCAGTAAGAATAAAAATTGCACTGCTTTCAATATCTATTTTTTTCTTCCTATAAAAATACTGGTAGATTACTTTCAGAAACAATTGGCCAGTTTAGTCTCCCAAATGTTTTTGTTTTATTTAGTTTGCCTTGAAATTCAACAATTGTAAGGCTATCCTGACCAAAAACCAACCGTTGTATATACAGCCACACCTTAGCACTGGCTAGTGAGAGCCTCCAGGTGGTGAGCCTGAGCTAAGGCTTCAGGAGAAGCAGAGACAGTTTAGTAGAGAGAAGGAAAGAGCTCTAGAAAGCAGGTCCAAGTGCTGTAATGCACTCAGACCCAGGACAGTCTGTGGACCAATTAGAGCAGTTTCCCACAGGAGCAATGTAAATAACTGTAAGGATCACCAGCTTCCTGGATTTTGTACAGGGAATATAGATATTGCATGGAATCCAAAGGAACCCTGCGTTCCATTTCTGTCAGGGTCCACTCAAGAGTATTCCATCTCTGATGAAAGCAGCAATGAACATTTTACACTAGGAATGTTAAAAGTTAGGTGCTCTCCTCTGACAGCCATAATTACCTTAATAATCTGTGATGGTTATATTGACTGTAGTTTCACTTTAGATTTCTATCTGTATATGAGCATGATGTTCCATCCTAGGTATCATGCAAGAGATAATATCATGGAGGGAATCATGGCTAGCACACGATTCCCCCAAAGTGGCAAGATAGTAACTCTGGAGATAAAATTGAGTAAGCAAAATCAGAATATAGGTGGCAAATCTGTCCTTTCTTTCCAATCTAGCCTCTTCCCATAAAGCTATACCAGGTCTTATATTTACTTATGGCTACTGCCTGTTCCCCTGATGGCCCTTTAAATCACACTGACTCCCATACACACTACTGGCTTTCCAGTTTATAAAATCAAACAAGAATGTAAAAATCATCAGTGGTAAACAAGAGATGTCTCAGGAATTGTACACCCTGATGGTTGCCACATACTTCTTTTGCTTGCTCTATTCTTGGTCCTAGATTTCTAGCTCACATCACAGCTTTCTGGGACTACATATGACCCACCCTGAATGCTTAGCTGGCTCCACATCTGGACCCCTGGCAAACCTTTTATCCTGAGAAAAACTCTACTTCTGATATTTCCAAAATCTGTTAAGGTAAGCTCCATTATTTTATGGCTCAGCCATGCACCTGAGATCCCAAACTATTACTCCCTTAACCTCTGCCCAATAGACCAGATCTCTTTAAAGCTTACCAAGATTATAATAAGGTTTAATTAAACTCTAAATGGAGTCATTCCTGTTAGGTACACAATCTCCTGTCACGGTAAATTTTCTCTAGCCAAATACCTGTCACCTACTTTTATTTCCTACCACTTAGTAATAGCTTCCAGCATGCAAGCTTAAAAATCTAAACAGGATCACACAGAACTAGCTATTTCAGGATAAAGAGACATACTGGTAATTTCCAATCAGAGAAACAGAGCATACCACAGTGGTCAGCAAACTCATTAGTCAACAGAGCCAAATATCAACAGTACAATGATTGAAATTACTTTTGAGAGCCAAATTTTTTAAACTTAAACATCTTCTAAAGCCACTTCTTCAAAATAGACTTACCCAAGCTGTGGTATTTTGTGGAAGAGCCACACTCAAGGGGCCAAAGAGCCAGATGTGGCTCGAGAGCCGCAGTCTGCCAATCAAAGCACCAGGGAATTCCAGGTGCTGGTCATTTCTAGGATGCTGGTAGACAAGGGTAATTGCTCTGAGGCAGCAGAACCCAGACACTGGTAAGTAGGAGACAAAGGAAATGGGATTTTCCCTCAACAGAGCTTTGGGAAGGAAGAAAAAGGACAATGAGAAAGGCAACTGCTAATAATATAAATAAGGAAGCACATCACATCCCCGTTGCATGGACTGAGGAACGTCAACAAGAGACATAAGACTTGAGGATGCAACAAAATACCCAAAGAATAATGCCCGTAGGTAGCAAATCCAGCTACCTCCAAATACAGGAGGGTCTCACAAGAGGCTTCATCTATGGATATGCATGAAAGGAAGGAAAGATAATTAATTCCAGATGATGGAATTGTTACCAGATGATGGGGCTAAGGTCTCAGACATAATGTTGCTGCCAGTGAGCAGTTCCTGAAAAACCGAGAAAAATAGAGGAAAAGGCAGAAAACTGAGACAGGCTTTGTTATTCTTGAAACTCTATCTTCAGTTTAAAACAGCAAATTTCCGAGTCTTTCCTCTGTGCTAAAGAATGTTTCCTCTCATAGCTCCTCCTTTCAAGACAGGCATGCTACTCTGTAGTTCTAGACTTCCAGGATTTCATGAACTGCTTATGTTCTCTACAGTTTGTATCTAGAACACATGATAATTTTTAAAAGGCTATGCTTATATGCTATAGCCTTGGTAATTTTAGTAGGCCTGCCCTACATTTATTCTTATTCCGCATGTCTCCCTTGAACTCTTGTTATAATTCTGACACTATTTCAGGAACAAGCCCAAAGCTGAATAGTTGGAGCAGAGAAGATGTTCAGGGCAGGACAGTGTAACACAGTAGGTGAGAGTCTGAGCTTTGACCACAGACTGCCTTGGGCTTGAATTGCTGATGTCAGTGTGACCTTGATGTTTCCCTTATCCCATAAAATGAAAAGAGCAAGAGGTTGCTGGCAGTTTTATATAAAGTAATGCACATAAAATACATAGCTCAGCACCTGGCAC